TTTATGTAATGCATGAATAAAGTTCGGGGTTTGTCGGGTAGTGAAATGATTATTGTACATTTTAAATGCTCCCCCATGCATAGGTGTAAGCTAAATTACGGTGATTAATTAGCGATATGGAGACAATTATTAAGTTCCCTCTTTCCAAGAAGGGATGCAAATGCTTTGTGAAAATGAGTACGCCGCGGTACTCATTTTCACAAAGGAAAACACGCAGCTGGTTAGCTATTATATGCAACACCATGAACACCTAGGAAGAAAGGTGCAATCACATTCACAGAAATTTTTCTTCATATTTTATATTCTTTATATTTTAAGTCTGACGAGTGCCATTTCCGGCTATTGTTTATTAGAATAGATAAATATACAGTAGTCCAAGAACTTCTTATAAAGAAAGTACAGTACAGTATATGAATGGAATTCAAGTAACATGGCTAAATATATTTTTTTATTTAAATAAATAAATTGATGGGGTAAAATATTGATTTTTTGTGAAAAATACATGAAAACTAGATTTTAATCAAAAATTTACCTTTTTACCCCCAAAAATAGGTTATGAAAATAAATTGAGATACCACATAAATCCTAAAATACATGATAAAATCATAATCAAGAGGTTTTGATTGGGTTTCTGGTGTGTTCTTGGAGATTTGTGGTGTATTTTCAGGTATTTTTCACAAAAAATAAATATTTTAACCAAAAAATAGGTTCTTATGAACATTAACTTACTTAATTTTTTTTTATTGAGGTACTAAGTGAGTGCTAAACTACATGATACCATCATAATCAAGAGGTTTTAGTGGAGATTGCGGTGTGTTTTTAGAGGTTTGCGGTCTTTATAGCAATACCCCATGGGGTCTACAGTCTACATAACTATTTAATAATCTACAAAATCTATTATACTATATTATTACTTTGCATGCAAAAAATTCACAATGTTTTTATCCATATAATCTCCACTCCTCTATGTCCCCCAAGACTGTTATCCCTCAACCGGCCTACATGTACTGCATAATGCACAATGTCTTCATTTACAGTTGAACTTGCCGAAGTCGAATCCATGGCATTGAAAACTGTTTACTGGCACATCACAACAATTTGGCATGTAAAATAAGATCGACTTACAAATTATTCGACTTAGGCAAGTTCAACTGTATGGAGTTTCTCCTCCAATGTACTTTTTACTGTAGTTTCTCCTGCAATGTATTTTTTACTGTAAGTGTGTTTCAATCTGCGACAGTCTCCACATTAGTTTCAACAACATTCACATGGTTTTTTGTATGTATCCTTAAATGTGCTTTGAAATTGCTGCAGACACTAAATTTCTTTCCACAAATTTCACATTCATATGGCTGCTCTCCTGTATGTATCCTCAGATGGGATTTTATACAGCTGTTAGTTCTAAATTTCTTTCCACAATGTTCACATTCATATGGCATCTCTCCAGTATGTATCCTCAGATGATTTCTCAAACTGCCACCGAAAGTAAATTTTTTTCCACAATATTCACATTCATACGGCGTCTCTCCTGTATGTTTCCTCAAATGGCCTTTCAAACATCCACTGTAATTAAATCTTTGTCCACAATGTTCACATTCATATGGTTTTTCTCCTGTATGTATCCTCACATGTTTACTAAAATTGTTGTTATATTTAAACTTTTTTCCACAATAACCACACTCATAAGGGGTCTCTCCAGTATGTACCCTCATGTGGCATTTCATATTGCTACTGTTTGTAAATCCTTTTCCACAAAATTCACATTTGTATGGCATCTCCCCTGTATGTATCCTTGTATGAACTTTCAGACTGTTCTTGTCTTTATATGTTTTCCCACAGTGTTCACATACTAATGGAATCTCACCTGTATGTGTCCGCAAATGTCTCTTTAACTCGTCATTTCTTCTGAACTTTCTTCCACAGTGTTCACATTCATATGGCATCTCTCCTGTATGTATCCTTAGATGGATTTTAAAGTAGGAATTGTCATAAAACTTCTTTCTACAATATTCACATTCATATGGTCTCTCTCCTGTATGTGTCAACAAATGTGTTTTCAATAAATTACTTCTACTAAACTTCCTTCCACAAAGTTCACATTTATGTGGTTTCTCCCCTGTGTGTGTCATCATATGAGATTTCAAGGAATTACTGAATTTATATTTCTTTCCACATTGTTCACATTCATATGGTGTACTCTCTCCTGTGTGTTTCACCACATGGCTTTTCCCTTTCTGATCCTCTTTAAATTTGAGTTCACAAGGTTCTCTTTCAAATGGTGTCTGTCCAGTATGTATAAATAAATGACTTTTCAAAATATCACTACGTTTAAACATCTCTCCACAATGTTCACATTCGTATGGTGTCTCTCCCGTATGTATCCTCAGATGTCTTACTAATTGACTACTTTGATTAAACTTCTTTCCACAATGTTCACATTCATATGGTTTTTCACCAGTATGAATCCTAACATGATTCTTCAAATTGCTATTTTTTCGAAATCTCTTTCCACAATGTTCACATTCATATGGAGTCTCTCCAGTATGTATCTTCATATGACCTTTCAAATTGCTGTGGTCTTTAAACTTCATTCCACATTGTTCACATTCGTATGGTCTCTCACCTGTATGAATTCTCATATGGTTTTTCAAATTGCTATTTCTGTTAAATTTCTTTCCACATTGTTCACATTCATATAATGTCTCACCTGTACGCATCATTAAATCTTTTCTCAAATCGGTCAACTGAACCAATGTCTCTTCAACATGATCATATTCTATTTCCTCTGTCTTAATTCCCAAATGC